CCTCCTCCTCCTCCTCCTCCTCCTCCTCCTCCTCCTCTTCCTGGTCGTCCTCCTCCTCCTGGTCGTCCTCCTCCTCCTGCTCGTCCTCCTCCTCCTCCTGCTCGTCCTTCTTCTCCTGCTCCTCCTGCTCCTCGTCCTGCTCCTGCTCGTCCTCGTCCTCCTGGTCTTGCTCGTCCTCCTCCTCGTCGTGCTCTTGCCCCTGCTGAAAATGTGGCCCAGGAATGGGAGTTCTGGGAAGTCGAAGAGCACGAAGTTGCCTACAGTTGGCCACGGGCATTCAAAATGTGGCCCGGGAATGGAGTTCTGGGAACTCGAAGACACGAAGTGGCCTAGAGGTGGCTCCGGGCATTCAAAATGTGGCCCGGGAATGGAGTTCTGGGAACTCGAAGAGCACGAAGTGGCCTACAGTTGGCTCCGGGCATTCAAAATGTGGCCCGGGAATGGAGTTCTGGGAACTCGAAGAGCACGAAGTGGCCTACAGTTGGCTCCGGGCATTCAAAATGTGGCCCGGGAATGGAGTTCTGGGAAGTCGAAGAGCACGAAGTGGCCTACAGTTGGCTCCGGGCATTCAGAATGTGGCCCGGGAATGGAGTTCTGGGAGGTCGAAGAGCACGAAGTGTGTGACTGTTGGCTTAAAACGACTTCTGCGGCACCCTGTCCGGCACCCGCCCAGACCCCCCTGTGGAGTCATCTGCTGCTCTTTTTTAAGACCACTAGAAACCTATCAGTCTTCGCTGTTAGGTAAAAACGGGTCCTCTTGCGCCACCGCGTTCCGCAGCTGCAGAAATCCAGTGAGACCTGAGCGGCAGCCCTTAGAGCTCGTCGCCGCAATGCAGGAATCTTCCACATCATGCTGCTATAAGGGTTTCCCAAAAACCAAGGTATCTGATAGAGGTCTAGCGCACGAATGATACGGAGGTTTGCCCTGAGCAGCTTGTTGCCGCGCTGTAGTGCGGCGTGATCATTGACACAAAATTCTGATCTGTCTGTAACTCCCCAGGGCTGCGACGAGGTTCTGATGAAACGAGTTCGCATTCTTGCTATCGAGAAACTGGTACAATCCGTTGCGATCGCTGCGCCAAGGATCAGACCACTCTTGGCATCCTCTTCCAGGCGGCGAAGCACGGCGTGATCGGTGAGATCTAGGCTCTGGCTGCAACGAAGATCCCAGAGTCGCGCAGGGTAACCACGGCGCGCAATTGCCTTCCCGACGCCGCCCTCGCCACAGAACAGGTCGGCAAAATACTGGCGTTGATTCACGGCGCCACAAAAGGCAGGGCGGCCGCGCGGTCGAAGAAGAGAGCCTCGAGTTACTGGTCCGCCTTTCGAGGGGCAGCCACCTGCCAAGGCAGCAGGCGGGGGGCAGAGAGGCTTAGCCTGGCGGCGTTCTGGTATCTCTTGAGCGAGCTCTTGCATTGCCGCCCGCTTCGCTTTTTCAGCTCCATGTGATAGCCGTGGCGGTTCTGTAGGTCCAGCATCTTGAGGGTGGCCGCCCTCGACTGCGGGAACAGCAGCATCCCCCAAACGTTCGAGCTTCCCTCTGCTGGCTGGATGAGATCCTGGCGCTGGATTGCGAGCGGCTCGCCTGGGCGGCGGTGCGTCACGATCATCCACAGGATGTGCACCCCCATGAGCCAGCACCCTCGGCAGCAGAGGCCCCAGACGACAGCTGACCACACCATGCGGACGACTGGGTTCCTTGAGCGCCGCCCGCATCTCCGGCGCCACCCCTTCAGGCATCGCCAGGCCCGGAGGAAGCGCGATCTCCCCAGCTTGCCATGCTGGGGCTGGAAGTGCAGCAAGGCCGACAGCAACACGTCGCCCTTGTTCGAGTGATGGCCCGACTCGTATAGCCCGTTCATGTAGTGCACGAGCACATCGTCCACCTCGCTGTCCACGACGAGCTGGCGCTCCTTGGCGGCGTCGATGAAGGCCTTGAGCTCTACCTGGTACCGCGCCTCTGTGCCCAGCCTCACCGCTGAGCGCTCCAGCAGCGTGAACCCCGCCAGGGTGGGCGGCGCCTTGGCCTGGGCGACTGCCCGAGCGTGGTGCCGGGCCGTCTGGCGGAGCTGACGGGTGCGAGCTGCCTCTGCCTCGTTGGCCACGGTCGTGGCGTCGCTGCCCTCGCCGTCGCCCGTCGGGCTGCAGTTCGCCTCTAGGTCGGGCGCCGCGGCCCCTGAGGCGGGCGGGGCCAGGGTGAGCCGCTGCCGCACGCCGTCCCGGGGCGCTCCCAGCGCCCGCGCCTGGCTGGCTGGCGCCTGTGGCCCGCTCGGCAGGCCCTCCGGCCTGGGCGACAGCACTTGCGAGCGCTTCGCAAGCGGCTCGGGCGCGGCATGCGCGGGCGCGCTGCCTCCTGCCGGCAGCGGCGTTGCCAGGCGGCGACAGTGCCCCTGACTTGTCGGCGGGCCAGACGCCATGGGCACGCTGGTCGTCGCGCCCCTGATCGCCCACCGCCGCGGCGGGTCGCCGGAGCTCCCCCGCAGGGGCGCACTCGGGAGCCGAGGTGGCGACGGCGGCAGGCTGGCTCCTCTGGGGCTCGTGGAGGTCCTGAGGGTCTAGAGTGCCGGGGGTCTCGGTGGGCTCGTCGAGGGCCTGCGGGGCTGTTCTGGGGCTCGTGCTCGTAGTGGCTGAGGTACTGGTGAGGCCCATGACTGTGTGCTTGCTCGTGCTCTCATGTTTGCCAAACTTGTCGTGCTTGCAGTTCTCCGTATCCACGTGCTTGCAGTAGTGCGTCGTCTTGGTGCGTGCATTATCTTGCTCATGTACATGCTGGGGTAGCCTACGATTCACTGGTACTTTGCCGTAGTCCTCAGAAGCTTCCCAAGAGTGCACCAGGGTCTTACCGGGGTCGTAGCCTGGGTCGTACAGCCTAAAGCCTTCGTCGCTCGGGTTGAGCTCGCCCGGGACCCATATCACGTGCAGGCGCTTGTTGAGGGAGAGGCACAGGGCGACAGCCCGACGAATGCATGCGAGGACAAGAAAGTTTTTTGCTCTCCTCCTCTCAAAGCACAGCACTGCGGGCAGGTTGTCGCTCATGACGACGGCACGCTCGCCCTCTCGCGGTGACAGGCTGCACAATATTTCTACAGCTCGCAGGAGGGCACGTGATTCGTAGACCAGAATGTCTTCCGAAGTATTAAGCCACCCACGGGCGACTAGATCTGTCCAGCGGGGCCCTGAGAAGATCTCCGCTGCCATCTCTTTGAAAGTTCTGTCAAGCCCCCACTGAGTCTGGGGCGCAACCTCGTCATGCTCACCAAGATCGGCAGCATCTTTGAACGTCCCTGCACTGGTCATCACGATGCCGTTGCTGGCGAAGAAACGGGCCCGAGCCGAATGGCCGCCCAGGCGGCGGAAACGGGATCGCTCCTGCACCCGCCCGATCTCCTTCACAGCGGCCGGCTCGAACAGCGAGGCGCTCACCGCGCAGCCGTGCTCCGACGCGTCGGAGAGGCAGACCAGCGGGCACCGCGGGAGCGTCCAGTCGCCGCGCAGCAAGGGCATCAGGCCCCGGAAGGCAACCATCTCGGCCCGCGCCGTGGGCCAGAGCGGCGCAGCCTCCTGGTAGTGGGCCGCTATGAACTTGTACATCGCGTTGAAGACCGGGAGGAGGTCGCGGTTGCACGTGGCGCAGTAAGTGCAGTGGCCGAGGACGATCTCCCATGTCCAGCCTGGCAGGGCTCTGCAGCTCAGGGCCCACGAGACACCTTGTCGCACCCGCCAGTAGCGTTTGGCCGTGAGCCTGGTGGTCAGCGAGACCCCGTCCAGCACGCAGCCCAGCGTCACGCCGCGGCCCCTCTGAATGTCCGTCCCGTGCGTCCTCAGGCCCGCGGCGTCGAACCTCGTGGTGGCGGCGGCGAAGCTCGAGGACACCTCTGCGCCGTCGAAGCCCATCACCCCGAGGTTGTCGACGCACGTATGCTGAGCGCCTCCCCCCTCGGCCAGCTGGGCCGACGGCCGAAGCGCTGTCGTAGGGCCCTGGTCGCTCATGCGGTGGGCCCGCTCCAGTCCGGGCGTGGCGCCCATGACGGCCTCGCCCACCTCCCGGCAGAAATAGAGCGACCAGGTGGACCCCATCGGCAGGGCGGCGCAGGCTGGCACCAGGCGGCGGTCGGGAGGCGCGGCGCTGCCCCCGATGGCCCTGCCGGTCACCCCGATCTCCTGCGCTGTCACGGGGCGGAGGCAGAAATAGGAGGAGAGCCCACGGTCGCCTGAACCGATGGAAGGCGTCGCTGATGTCGGAGGTGCCCAGCGTGAAACCGAGGTCCGGCTGGCCACCGCACTCGACGCCCCCCACCTCGATGCGGGCGAGCCCCTCGGCCGTCACGAGCGACGCCCCAGGGGGCGAAGTGAAGTGCAGGTTGCTGCGCCGAGCGTCTATGATGAGGCGCAGCTGGTCTGACTTCTTGGAGACGAAAAAGATCCCGACGTCCTCGCGCCGCTCACTCTCGTCCAGGAGCACCAGAAGGCCCTTGGCGTAGAGGAGCTTCACCAGGCGGACGTAGAGTCTGCGGTTGCGAGCCAGCGAAGGGCCCCAGTGAGGAATGACATCACACTCATCAAGGCGGCAACGTAAACTAGCCTCATCTAGAAGCATCCGAGAAAAACCGTCTTCGAGAAAATGGCGTGCATGGGCAGGGGCGATGTCCAACAGCCGTGGCCCTCCCACCGCGGTCTCAGGTAAAGATATCTGCCCCGCGTTGCGAAGACGTCCGACGTTCCGTCCGGCCGACTCGTCGTAGACACTGCGGCCGTGCAGCAGCTCAGAAAAGGCCGCTCGCGGGGAAGGGATCGCGGTCTCCATCGGCGGCATGCACTCAGCCACGCATTCCAGGATCCGCGCGTGCACCTTCATCTGGTCAATATTCGACCTGTCGCCTGTGCGCTTCATCAACCAATTCAAGGCGTCGACGACCTCGAAGTCCTGGCAGGCTCGCCTGGCGAGCCGAGCAGCCCCGCGGCCCTGGAGCTGCGGCCAATCCCTCTCGTGGTCGCTCAGCCTCGGCAGGGGGAACACCGACAGCAGGCCCACCCCGATTTCACGACTGGGCTGTGCGCTACCGGCGGGGCGCCCAAACCCGCCGGCGGGGGCAATCATGCCCCCTCGGGCGCGGTGAGCCCCCCACCGCGCCCAGCCGCCCCACGCCCGCCGCCGCTTCCAGGAGCGCCGCGGCCGCGCCCGTCTGCGCCGCGGCCCCGGCCGTCGCCGCGGCCCCGCCCGCGCCCGTCGGCGCCGCCGGAGGGCCCGCTCGGCAGCCCCTCGCCGGCCTCTGGCGCCAGGGGGCTGGGCAGAGGGAGCCCGGCAGCCCGGCTATTCAAGCTCTCCGGCTCCATCTCCTCCTTGTTGCGGCGGAAGACTGCGGTCCTCAAGGCTGGGTCAATCGCGTCCATCGGGCCTGCCACGCCCACGTAGTGCCGCAGCCCGCCCCACTTCGGGGGCTTGTGAGGATCGCCCGAGTAGGCCTCGACGATCTGCGACACCCGACGACGCAACACTTCAATGCTGGCCATGCTGGGTAGGTTGACCTGGTCGTAGCTTCCCGCGTGGAAGATCGATGTGAGCAGGCACTTCATCTCGATGTAGCTGCGGCCCGTCTGGCTCAGCTGGCGGCCCCGCGCCCGCAGGTCCAACCGGAGCAGAGGGGAGCCGCCGTTCTGCTCCCAGCGCTTCGCCATGTGCTCCACCGTGCTGAGGCCGTCCTCAAACGGCCAGTCCTCGAACGTGTACTTCTTGATCTCGCGGGCGACCACGCCCCGCGGCCTGTGGCGGTCTCCCTGCTCGTCGTGCTGAACCCGCAGCGTCCTCACGTCATCGACCGAGTCCGCCTCGCGCGCCCCCCCCAGGGGGGGCACCCCCAGCCTGTCTCTCAGGTCCTGATCGCCAGCGCTGGGGCCGGCGGCCTCGGCAGCTCCGCGCGCGGGGTCGGCCTCGCCGCCAGGTGGCAAGGCCGGCGGCGGCAGGGGCGGCCCCCCCGCACGGGCGTCGGCGGGCAGGTCCCTCTCGACCAGCCCGAGCAGCTCCCTCGGGGGCCTGTCTCTGAAGGTGTCCGCCGCGCCGACGGGGATCGCCTCCGCGAGCTGCCAAACGCCGGCTTCCCTCACCATTGCGTGGTCGTCGTCCAGCCTGACACCGCCAGACTCCAGCACCACCTCGGTTCCCAGACGAAGAGGGCCGGGCGAGTTGACCAGCCGGCAGCATCCCTCAGGCGGCCCCAGTGTTGGAGGGGCGGGAACGACTGCCTCGTCAGCGCCCACCGAGGGCGGAGCGCCGCCAGGAGGGGTGTCGGTTCCTCCGACAGCGCCCCTGGCCCCCCGCAGCGGAAGGCGACGTCGGAGAACCCCGAACGGGCGGGGGACACCCGCCCAGGTGTAGACCTCCGCGGGATCAACCAGCGGCTCGTCGCCAACGTGCACCTGCTGATCAGTCCTCGACCTGAGCACGGCGGCGCGCAGCTCCTCCCAGGTCAGCGGCTGCGCGAGCCGGTAGGACGCGCCATGGGCCAAGGCGGGCGCCGTGCCATCCAGCGCGACGGTGAAGGCCCTGTTGCAGCCGTCGCCGACCGAACCCGACACGTCCTCGGCGCACCGGTCGCCGTCCGGCGTCAGCACCCACCAGTACGTGCCCCCCGCGGGGTAGAGCAGCACTCGCTCATGCCACACCGTGTCGCGTGGGTACCAGAGCCCGACTTGGCGCCCAGGCAGGAGCTCACCGCACCACGCCCCCACCTCGACGAGCGTGCCGTACGCGGCCAAGGTCGTCGGGCCGCGGCGGCGGCGGGGGAGTGGGGCGATCATTCCGACGGGCTCGGGCCGCCACGCAGCAGCACATCGAGACCACCGCCTCCCCGCAGGCGACCCCCCACGCCAAGATGAAGGCGAAGGGACAGCCCTCGCCCACGGCTGGGCCATCCTCGGGCGCGGACGGCGCCGCACGGGCCTCCTCAGGCCTCAGGGGCGGCAGCCGCTCCAGCAGCGCCGCGGCCACCTCGTCGGCCGAGGGGCAGGAGGCCGGCGCCGGCGAGGAGTTCGCCGCCAGCAAGGGCCCAAGCTTCTGCGCCACGGCCGCGGCCACCGCGCCGGCGCTTGGCGCTGGCGGTGGAGGCGGCGCCGGCGGCGTGGGCGGGGGCCACTGCGGCGCGTGGCACACGCAGGACGGGCAGCTGGTCGAGGCGGCCACCAGCGCCGCCAGCCAGCTCGTTGCCCAGCGCAGCCCGGCCCAGGCAGCCGGCGCCCCCACCGCGGCGCTCACCGCGAGCGTGGCGGCGCCGCCCGGGGCCATGGCCCAGCCCCACTCATGCACTTGAGAAAGATCAAAAGACATGCAGCGGCCCAGACAATCACGCGCAAGCACTCCTATTCCAAAACCTAGGGGGCATCAATGATTTGGGCCTCTTCGGGTCCTCCAGGAGGACCTCTTGGAGACTTTTTGGGCAGTCTCGGGAGCCTCTGGGGGGCCTATTGGGCCGTCTTGGACTCTCTTGGGCCGTCTTGGAGGCCGTCTTGGACCATCTTGGGCGGACTTGGAGGCCATCGGAGGCCATCTTGGAGGTCATCTTGGGCCAACGTGGCCATCATGGAGGCCATCTTGAGCCGTCTTGGGGGGGAAAATGTGCAATTGGGCACCTTTCCGGGTGGCCGGCGGGACGCGCCGGAGGCCCAGGGGGAGATCTTTCGACAAAAAAAACAAAACCAAAACCGAAAGGGTCTAGCACGCCAGGCAGCCCTGCGATGAATCGACAGGGCGCGGCGGATCGAAGAAGCACGGCGAATCACCGCCTATGTGGTCGAACGTTGAGGCCAGACCTGCCAAGCTATCGGACCATGTGTTCCCCGAATCGGTTTGGAAAGCCTTCGGGGAACACGTGGGCATCTTGAAGGTCATCTTGGCCGCCTGGAGGCCATTTTCACCCTTTCGGGCCTTCTTGGAGGACGTCTTGGAGGGCTCTTGGGCCGTCTTGGAGGCCATCTTCAGCGTCTTGGAGGCCTCTTGGGCCGTCTTGGGGCCCTCTTGGGGCCGTCTTGGGCCTCTTGGACGATCTTTGGGGGCACTCGGGCCGTCGGAAGGCAGAAAAACAACAAATGCCACGATACTTCAAAAACTCTTGGGAAATCAATGATTTTGGCCTTTTTCGGGCTTTCCTGGAGGCCCTCTTGGAAGCCTCTTGGGCCGTATTGGGCCATCTTAGTGCCATCTTCGGCCGTCTTGGTGGGCCCCTGGCCCGTCTCACGCCGTCGGAAGCCGTTTGGGGGGCCTCTCTGGGCCGACTTGGGGCCCTCTTGGAATGCTCCAGGGCCGTGTTAGATGCCATCTTGGGCGTCTTAAAGGCCTCCTGGGCCGTCTTGGGGGTCTCTTGGGGCCGTCTTGGGGGCCTTTTGGGCTGTTCTGGGGCCATCTTGGAAGCCTCTTGGGCGATCTTTGAGCGATCTTCGGGGGCTCTTGGGCCGTCTCGGGCCGTCGGAAGGCCGAAAACAAGCAAATGTCAAAATCCTCCAAAAACCTCAGGGAATCAGTGTTTTGGCTTTTTTCTGGCCTTCCTGGAGGCCCTCTTGGAGGCCTCTTGGACCGTCTTGGGCCAGCTTCGAGCCAACTTCGGCCAGCTTGGTGGGCCCCTGGCCCGTCTGACGCCGTCGGAAACCGTTTGGGGGGCCTCTCCGGGCCGACTGGGGGCCCTCTTGGGGTGCCCCAGGGCTGTCGTAGAGGCCATCTTGGGCGTCTTGGAGGCCTCTTGGGTCGTCTTTGTGCCCTCTTGGGGCCGTCTTGGGGGCCTCTTGGGCAGTCCTGAGGCCGTCTGGGAGGCCTCTTGGGCGCTGCGGGGGCGATCTTTGGGGCCTCTTGAGCCGTCTTGGGTCGTCGGAAAGCCGAAAAGGAGCAAGTACGAAACACCTTTTAAAACTCCAAGGGGAATCAATGATTTTAGCCTCTTCGGGCCCTCCTGGAGGACATCTCGGAGGCCTCTTTGGCCGTCTTGGAGGCCTCTTGGGCAGCTCTTGGGCCGTCTTGGGCCGTCTTGGCGGTTTCTTGGGCGGACTTGGAGGCATCTCCTCCTCTCTTGGGCCGTCTTGGAGGCCATCTTGGGCCATCTTGGAATCTATCTTGGGCCACCGTGGCCATCTTGGAGGCCATCTTGAGCCGTCTTGGAAGGTTTTTTCTGGGATTGAACTCCTGGGCAATCCTCCCGGGACCCCGGCGGAACGCGCCAGAGCTCCAGGGGGAGTTCTCTTGGAAAAGAACCAGAAATCATCCAGCACGCCAGGCACCCCTGTGATGATTTTTTTTACGCGCAACACTTCTGGAGAGGAGGAGGGATCGGCAGAGGAATCAACAGGGGGCGGCGGATCGAAGACGCCTACGGCGAATCACCCCCGCCCCCTGCCTTTTGGAAGCGCCTATGTGGTCGAACGTTGAGGCCAGACCTGCCAAGCTATCGGACCATGCGTTCCCCGAATCGGTTTGGAAAGCCTTCGGGAAACACGTGGGCATCTTGAAGGTCATCTTGGCCGCCTGGAGGCCATTTTCACCCTTTCGGGCCTTCTTGGAGGACGTCTTGGAGGGCTCTTGGGCCGTCTTGGAGGCCATCTTGAGCGTCTTGGAAGCCTCTTGGGCCGTCTTGGGGGCCTCTTGGGGCCGTCTTGGACCTCTTGGGCGATCTCTGGGGGCACTTGGGCCGTCTCGGGCCGTCGGATGGTCAAAAAAAACAAATGCCACAATCCTTCAAAAACTCATGGGAAATCAATGAGTTTGGCCTTATCGGGCCTTCCTGGAGGCGCCGTCTTGGCGGGCCCCTGGCCCGTCCGACGCCGTCGGAAACCGTTTGGGGGGCCTCGCTGAGCCGACTTGGGGCCCTCTTGGAATGTTCCAGGGCCGTCTTGGAGGCCATCTTGGGCGTCTTACAAGCCTCTTGGGCCGTCTTGGGGGCCTCTTGGGGCCGTCTTGGGGGCCTCTTGGGCCGTTCTGGGGCCATCTTGGAGGCCTCTTGGGCGATCATTGGACGATCTTTGGGAGCTCTTGGGCCGTATCGGGCCGCCGGAAGGCCGAAACGAAGCAAATGTCAAAATCCTTTTCGGGCCTTCCTGGAGGCCCTCTTGGAGGTCTCTTGGGCCGTCTTGGGCCAGCTTCGAGCCAACTTCGGCCATCTTGGTGGGCCCCTGGCCCGTCTGACGCCGTCGGAAACCGTTTGGGATGCCTTTTTGGGCGGACTTGGGGCTCTCTTGGGGTGCTCCAGGGCTGTCGTAGAGGCCATCTTGGGCGTCTTGGAGGCCTCTTGGGTCGTCTTTGTGCCCTCTTGGGGCCGTCTTGGGGGCCTCTTGGGCAGTCCTGAGGCCATCTTGGAAGCTTCTGGGGCGCTGCGGGGGCGATCTTGGGGGGCTCTTGGGCCGTCTTGGGTCGTCGGAAAGCCGAGAAGAAGCGAATGCCAAAATCCTTCCAAAACCTATGGGACATCAATGATTTGGGCCTCTTTGGGCCCTCCTGGAGGACCTCTTGGAGGCCTCTTGGGCCGTCTTGGAGGCCTCTGGGGGGCCTCTTGGGCCGTCTTGGGCCATCTTGAAGCTATCTCAGGCCGTCTTGGGTGCATCTTGGGCCGTCTTGGAGGCACATTGGGGCAATCTTAGCCGTCTTGGAAGCCATCTTGGAGGTCATCTCGGGGCCGTCAGGGGCAAGAAAACTGATGGCAGCCAACTTTTCCGGGGCCCCCGCGGGACGCGCCGGAGCCCCAGGAGGAGTTCTTTCGGGAAAAAACCAAAACCAAAACCGACATCATCTAGCACGCCAGGCACCCCTGCGATGAATCGACAGGGGGCGGCGGATCTCCTTGCCTTCGGCGTATCCCGCCTCCGCGCATGGGTGATGGGTCAGAGGCCTCATGGATGTTGATTGGGAGCTCGTGGTTGGCCTCTGCGGGGCCTCTGGGAGGCAGGTTCGAGGCCTCTGGGTGCCTCTCGGGGTCAGGTTTGGGGCCTCTCGGGCTCCTCTTCGGGGCCTCCTGGGACTCCTTGGCGGCTTCTCGGGTGCCCCTTGGGGCCTCTTGGGCGCCTCTTGGGGGCCTTGGCGCGGGAGGCGGGGGGGGTACTCGATCGATCGCGCCCCCCCCCCGCCCCCCCGGAGGCCGCGACCCTCGCGAGCGGCGTCGAACAACTGCCATCCCCCAAGGTCTTGCGAGAAGTGGCGGGGAACGGCGGAGTCCATGATCCTCATGAGGGATGTCGAAAATAACCCTCCCCAAAGTTCGGGCACCCCCTAAGAGGCCACGATCCTCGCGCGGGGCGCCCCAAAATGGCTCCGGTCCCTTAATGTCAAGAAGGGAGGCGACTCCGAGAACCCAAGGGATTTGGCAATGCTGGGTCCGGTCCCTTAATGACTCCTCAGGAATGAGTCCAGGGACCTAAGGACACGCCCATTCCGCGCCGCAGGGCACGGTGGCGGATCACCCCTGCCCGCTCGTCTCTGGGAGGCGGAGGAGGGAGGGAGGAGACTGAGGGGTGATAATTACCGGGGAGATGGAGGAACAGGCGTTGTCGGAGGAGGATAAAAGAGGAGTAAGAGGAGAGGGAGGAGGCTGAGGGATTATTGCTCTCCACCTCCCTCCTTCTCCTCCGATTGGAGGGCTAGGAGGAGGGGCAGGAATGATAGAAAGAGGGTGGTGAAAATGATCTTGGAGGCAGCAGAAGAAAGATGAACGCCTCCTGAACTTCATCGTCCTGCAAATCCTCCTCGTCTTCATCATTCCACTCCGCCTCCCCCTCTGAGCCCCCCCTCTTCCTTCCATGGTGGAGATGCGATGAGGAGGATACGGATGATGATGAGTGAGAGCAGCAATCGGAGTAATAATAGGGGTGGTTATAGCAGTGCAAAAACGAGCAGGAACAGCTGGAACTATTCCTCTCTAACAGCATTTTCCGTGAGGCCTCGGAAGTGAGGATACTGTCCTCCAGGGCCCCTCCCATGGAACAAAGACCTCTGCAAACTTGCATCAGGTTGCAAGCAAACGAAGCTCCAATCTGCCTCGCAACAATGGAAGAACAAGACAATGCATATGCGATGATAGTAATGGAATGTAAGCAGTGGAGGGAAGCAAGGAGAGCAGGAGAGAAAGAGAAGCATAAGGAAAAGCGAAGGACCCAATCCAGACATAAAGGAAACCTTACCATAAAGGAAATGAAGGGGACCACAACTTCCGCAGAACATCCGGAAAAAAAACACGAACGGAACATCGGAACAATCAGAAACAACGTTGAACAAAACACTAGTGTTTCCAGAAAAAAAGCAACCAGGGTTTCGCTTACTTGTTGTCTGCTTGTTTCTTCAGTAACCCATGGTTTGTTGGATTTGTTTACTGATGTTTCTGATGTTATGTTTTTTTTTATGATGTTTAGTTTCTCGCTTGAAAAATCAATGGGACCAAAGCTTTCGCAGAAAATCAGAAAATCTGGAGAATCTGGACCCCCCCAAACCAAAAACTCACAAACTCAAAAACAACATTTGCTTTTTGATAGAAAATATACAACAAACAAGCAGTGTCGCTTACTTGTGTCTGATTTTTCTTTCAAAGAAATGGTTCATTTGATTTGTCACTGGTATTTCTAATTTGTCAAATTTTCGGCTGTTTCTGATTATTGGTTTCTCGGTGGGAAAATCACTGGGACCAGCGCTTTCGCAGAACATCAGATGAAGCAGAACATCCGAAACATCATATCTACATATGTATATTTATATGTAGATATTCATATATATATACATATATGTATATATACATATACCTATGTATTAAAACAAAAAACATCAAATAACAAAACAACGTAAGCAAACACAGATACCATTTGGTTTTTTGAGAGTGAACCAGAAACAGAAAACAAGTTTCGCTTACTTGTGCCGGACTTTTCCTTTAGAGATTTCCTTTAGAGAAACAATGTTTTCTTTGATGTTTCACTGATTCTTCTGTTTGCTTGTGATGTTCGGTTTTCTCTGATTTTTGGTTTCTCTGTGGAAAAATTAACAGGACCAAGACGTTCGCAGAAAATCAAAAAATAACGGAAACTCAGAAGCAATAACAAAAACATGAAACATCACATAAGCCATGTGTTGTTTAAGAACAAATCTGAAAGAAACCATCCCAAAACAAGGTTTCGCTTACCTTCTTCTGATTGTTCTTACAAACAACAATGGTTTCTTTACTTGTTTTGCGGACTTCCTGAATTTTCTGATTTTCGGCATTTACTGATTACGTTTGGTTTCTCGTGGAAAGAATCCACGGAACCTCGAAAGCCTTGGTGTTCTTTCATGTGTTCCCAAGGTTTGCTTTCCCGTATGATTCCCACAATTTCTTTGGCACTCTTCCTTATGATCTTCTCCTTCAACCCAGAGCCTCATCCTGCATCTCCCTACCAAACAAAGAATGCCGTTTGAAACGCCAACACCGTGTACCACCTCATTCCCCCTACCTCTACCTCGCGGGCGAGGCGAAGCTGCGTGGGCGCGCGAGAGGAATAATGCCGCCGTGGCTAGGGGCTGTGGAGCCGGTTGTCCGCCCCCCCCCCCGCCCACGTGGGCGCGGTGGCCGGGGATGCCCCGTCGATGGAGCGGCGGTGTCCCGTCGGTGTCCCGTCGGTGGCGCGGCGGTGTCCCGTCGATAGCACGGGGTGTCCTGTCGGTGGCGCGGGGTGTCCCGTCGGTGGCGCAGCGGTGAGATCGAAAGTGACATCGACTGTGAGATCGATTGTGAGCGTCCGGGCTGAGCTGCGTAGGCGGGCGAAAGGAATGAATCCTCCTCTGGCTAGGGCGCGGCGAGGACAAAAGTCCGACCCAGCCCGACCGCGTTGCGGGCAGTGGCCGAGGGGTGTCCCGCCGTGGTGTCCGGATGGTGTCCTCATAGTGTCCCGTGGTGCCCCGTGGTGTCCCGTGGCGCAGTGTCCCGTGGTGCCCCGTGGTGTCCCGTGAGGTCGATCGTGAACTCGCTAGTGAGATTGATAATGAGATCGATAGTCAAATCGATAGTGAGAACAATAGTGAGATCGATAGCGAGATCGATGGTGACATCGGTAGTAAGATCAATAGTCAAACCGGTTGTGAGATCGACTGTGAGATCGATTGTCACAACGATAGTGAGATCGGTAGGGGAATCGAAATTGAGATCAATAGTGAGATCAATAGTGAGATCGATAGCGGGATCGATCGTGAGATCGATAGTGAGATAGATATATCGTGAATTCGATAATGAGATCGATTGGGAGATCGATCGTGACATCCATCGTCAGATCGATAGTGGAATCGATAGCGAGATCGATCGCGGGATCGATCGTGAAATCGATAATGAAATCGATAATGACATCAGTAGTGAGATCATTAGTGAACTCGATAGTGAGAACGATAATGATATCGATCTTGATATCGATACTGCCATCGGTAATGAAATCGGTTGCGAGGTCGATAATGAAATCGATCGTGGGACCGATAGTGAAATCGGCTGTGAGATCGATAATGGGATCGATCGTGAGATCGATAATGCAATCGGTAGTAAGGCTGATAGTGAGATCGATAGTGAAATCAACGATGAGATCGGCTGTAAGATCGAGAAGGAAATCGAATGTGAGATCGAGATTGAGAGGGGTAGTGAGATCAATTATGAGATCGGTAGTTCGTGAGATCGATCAAATGATCGATCGATCGAGTGATATGAATAGTGAGATCGATTGATAGAGAGAGAGAGAGAAAGAAAGAAAGAAAGGTAATGAGATCGATTGAGCCGTTGGTTCCTCCCCCCGAACCTCATTATCACCCGAAGGGTGGTAGGTATTTCTCCGTCTCTCCTGTATGTTTTTTCCCCCGCCCCCTCCGCCTGCTCTTTTTTTTTGGGGGGGGGGGGGGTCGCATACCTCTCGTCCTCAGTGTCGTCCCCTCACGCCCCCCCCCTCTTGTCGCGAGTGTCCCCTCCTGTTGCTGTGCCAATTCCCCTGTTCCTTTTTGTTCCCCATTCTTCTTTCTCCTTCTTACGTATTCCTCTCGCCCCCCTCTCTCCGTGACAACCCCCTTCTAGCCCCTTCCTTCCAATGCCTTCCCACCCACAGCCCCGAGGGAGAAAACGGAGCTCAAGAAAACGGTCACAAACAATTTCGACATATTCTTCGACGCACACCAAGAATAACGACATTTTCTTCGATTATACACCCGCAAAAAGAAAACAGCTGCATGGTTTTCGACGCCCACAGAAGATAGCGACACTTTCTTCGACACCTACGCGCACAAGCAATCGTCGACACCTACGCACATTGCCAACATGCTTGGATGGGCAAGCATAGATACGTAATTAATCGCATTTCAACACACACACACATCACGTCTCCAATCACATGTATTTTCACTTCGGCCCGATAGAAGCCTGAAACAATCTCAACACATGTGGAGAAAACTAATTCACCACAGGCAGGAGACATCGGCACCTCAACCATAGTTCGCCCCCCAACAACGCGCTATCACACACACACACACACACGCAAACAAAAACACAAACACACACACACATATACAAACACACACACACACACACACACACACACGCACGCACGCACGCACGCGCGCACGCGAACGCGCACGCGCACGCACACGCGCACGAGCGCGCGCACGCGCACGTGCACGCGCACTCGCACGCGCACGCGCGCGTGCACAAACAATCAGAATCACAATCACAATCACAAACACAAACACAAGCACACATACCATCAAGTACCAACATCCACACACACACACACACGCGCACGGGACTTCGCGCGAATGATATTTTTCGGGGAACGAGCCGAGGAGCCGTACGGAGGAGGGCAAGGGCGAGGGCGAGGGCGAGGGCGAGGAGGAGGAGGAGGAGGAGGAGGAGGGGTCTCCGCCTTGATACGGTGCTCCCTGCGATTCAGCCGCTTCTCCCACTCCTCCACGCTGCGCCCCTCGGACGCCTCCAGGCTCAGCTGCGCGGTCTCCACGACGGTGTCGCCGACCAGCCTGGCCGCAACCCAGCCTGACGAGACCGTCCACCTTACCGCCCTGCGCGCCGACCGGTCGCCGGGCTGCGCCGCGGCAGCCGGACCGAGAGGCCGCTCCGCTGCACCTGCAGGGCCGAGGCCCGGCCACGGCGCAGCGAGCGGCGCCATTCCGAGAGAAGCGGCACCTGGCATCCGGCACGCCTGCGGGACGAACGGCGCCGCGTCAATGGACATGGCGGACGGCAGCGGCCCCTGGGCCCCCCCCGCGGCCCCGCCCGCGTGCCACCACCCTGCGTCCTCGGGGCCACGCCGGCCTCTTGGCGCGCCGGCCGCCGGCAGAGGCTTCTCCCCGCTTGACCCCGACTCCGCCCCCGCGCTCGGCGCCCTCGGCGGGGGCGTCTGCAGGGACAGCCGCGCGCGCGGCAGCGTGCCGGCGCGGCTCTCCACCGTGCTGCGGAGCCGGAGCAACTCGGCCCGGCACAGCCCGCTCTGCAGGGACGGACCCGCGGCGGGGGGCGGGCCCCGCGGGGCGGCGGCCAGGCCGCCAGCCCACAGGTCGGCGCTGGGCTGCCCAAAGGCCTGCAGGTCCAGGGTCAGCCGCGCGAAGAGGCTCAGCATCGACAGCGGGTCCTGCGACCGGCTGCGGCGGCGGCAGCAAAGACGTCTGCTCCCAACGACGGCAGAGACCAGGAGCTGGACGAGAAGGACGTCGACCATGGGGGCGGCGGCAACGATGAGCATACACGACTACAATGCGAATCCGACGGCGAGGGCGAGGGCGAGGGCGAGGGCGAGGGCGAGGACGAGGACGAGGCCGAGACCGACGCCGACGCCGACGACTAAGAAGACGACTACGACGACGACTAAGGAGTCGACTACGAAGACGGCTAGACTGCTAATACGGCGACAACGACACGTGGACGGGGATAAACACAATGACTACGGCCCCCGGAAACTTCCGAAGACACGCGACGACCCACCAACCGACTGACGTTATCGACAGCGGTGGCGACGACGACGACGACGACGACGACGAGCACGACGACGACGACGAGCATGACGACGACGTTGGACCAACAATCCGTTCAGAATTTATCCTTGGATCTCTCCTGGGGTCCAACCGCGCCAGTTTTTTTCGGCCGTGGCGACGCAGCCTCGGAGCCTCCAACATATCTCCGAAACGACCGACTGGCCGAAGGCGGTGGCGACGACCACGGCGGCATCCCCTGGAAGCGCCGAGCCTCGATCCTCGGAGATACATGGTCAACGACGGCGACAAAGACCGTGACGACGACTACGACGACGACGTCGACGACGACGACGACGACGACGACGACGACGGCGACGGCGGCGGCGGCGAGGACGACGACGAAAGCGACGTCCTCTGGAAGCGCCAGCGCCGCGGCGGACACCCCCGCCGCCGGCGGGCCTGTCGTGACCACGTCGCCGCAGAGCTCACCGAAGGACGCCAGCGCGCCCAGGCGCTGCAGCGCGAGCACCTCTCCTGGGCCTCCTGTCTGCTGGCTCCTCCTTCTTTTCCTCTTGCTGCTCCTCCTGTGGATCGTGGACTGACTGCGAAAGATCCAATGGATATTGCCCTCCCTCCCCCCAGTGCCGGTCGGCCCTGGGGGGGCTTATCAAACTAATGAGCCAGGCGACTCCTGGAGCAGTCGCTCCAGGCGCCGCGCTGCAGGCGTCGCCGGCTGATGGGGAGAAGGTAGCAGTAAAGACCGACAGAAGTAAGGAAGAGGGAGAGAGAGGAGCGAGGAGCCCTAATAACCTCGAGAGAAGAAGAGAAAGAGGCGGCTGAAGCGGCGGCGGCGGCGGCGAAAGGTGCGAGGCGGTAGTACACTCTCGCCAAGGTAGAGAGCTCAAGGACATCTCCCCCTGCTCATAACCCACAGGCGCTCCCCAGTCCAACGACGGGGACCCTCACCTGCAAGCAGGCGAAGCGTGGGGCTGGGGCCACCTGGGGGGGTTCTACCGAGCGCGGGAGAGGTTCGGGCCTTCCGCGGCGGTGGCTTGCCCAATAGCAGCCCGCAAGGTGGGAAAGATGTGGCTGTGGTGGAGGCGCGGCACAGCGAGTGGGCAGCTGAGCGTGGGGAGTTCACGCTCGCCAAGGTAGAAGGCTCAAGGGCCTCTCCCCCTGCACCTAGGAATCCCCCACAGGCGTCCCCCGGTCCAACGACGGGAACCCTCACCTGCAAGCAGGCGAAGGGTTCCCAGTACGTGGAACTGGGGGCCGCCTGGAGGGGGTAAGCCGAGCAAGGGGGGAGGTTTGCGCCTTCTGTGGCGGTGGCTTTCCAATTTGCAGCCGTCCCCCAACCCCATAAGCCTCCCCCTCCAGTATGTTGCATACCTTCCGTTGAAGCTGCTGTGGTGCAAGGGAAGAGCTGCAAACAAAAGATGTGGGACGGCGGCGTGCTTAGAGGTCACAAAATTCACCCCCATTATAGCCACCCCGACACGCGAAGTCGTTTAGTAAACGCGCCCAAAGAAGGAATCGAACAGGGCAGGGCTGTTTAGTAGACGCCCAGGGCCGTGAATAAACGCCAATTGTCTGGCCCGGGTGGTTTTTCCTCCCTTAAGTGCTGCTGGTGGCGAACGGTGGTGCAAGGTAAAGAAGAGCAGCTCTGTGACGGAGGACTCGGAATGAGAGTTGCAGGTGGTAAACCAGGGCGTGGCGTTACTGCTATGTTGGCGACTCTGCTGGCCGCAACCTCCCAGGCCATCGCCACGAGTCACCCCCACCCGATCCGACCCCAACCCTGGTTCCCTCCGTTGGCGGCTAATTACGGTGGCGGCCCAATGAGGTGGGAAGGTGGCAGTGCTTCCGGCGGCGAATGATTGGGTGAGATACGTAGGAGCAACACTGTCACTCTTCCTTCTCCTTCTTCTCCTCCTTCTCCTCCTCCTCATCATCCTCATTATCCTCCCCCTTCTACTCCTCCGTCGTCCCGGCGTTCTCCTCATCCTGCTGCTAATGCTGCTCGTTTTCATCCTCATCCTCGTCCTCGTCCTCTTAGTCCACCTCCTGCTCTTGATTGCTTGGTCCCCCTGGCTCCTGGATGCTGGTTACGACCCTACGGATGCGGGCGCTTTGGTCTCAAGACGAGGCCCTCGTGGCTCCTACTCCTCCTCCTCCTCCTCGTCCCCTCCTCTTCCTCCCTCATCATCACCATCATCACCACCACCATCATTATCATCATAATCATCAGCACCATCACCATCATAATCATCACCGACAGCACCGTCATCATCATCATCACCAACACCATCACCGTCAGAATCAGCATCAGCATCAGCATCATCATGAGCATCATCATCATCATTACAAATATAATCATCAACATCACCATCACCATCACAATGATCATGATTATCACCATCCGCATCGTCATCAGCATCATCACCACCATCATCGTCACCATCGTCGTTATCATCGTCATCATCATCATCGTAAGCATCATCATCATCATCATCCTCATTATTGCTCGGGCTTCCGTTCGAGGCCAGACGACGATGTGTTTTTACATACAGTGGCGCCGCCGACCGGAGCGAGTGGGCAGGCAAGCAACGAGTCACAATACCTTCAACACCCGAGTGTGGCTTCGGCCACACGCACTGCTCAAGGCGAAAAATGGGCGGGCGTGGTGGGCGCCTTGAGCCCATACGGTTAAGGCGGCCCGACCCACTCATGCTCCGCAAAACGCGTTAGTATAACTGCAATTGCTCGGGCTTTCGTTCGAGGCCAGACGACGATGTGTTTTTACATACAGTGGCGCCGCCGACCGGAGCGAGTGGGCAGGCAAGCAACGAGTCACAATACCTTCCACACCCGAGTGTGGCTTCGGCCACACGCACTGCCAAGACAGCACCGTCAAGCTAGAAAATGCCATACGTGCACGAGTGCCAACTGGCTCCGCCGGGACTTAAGCAACAGACAGGAACCTGTCCAATTCCTGAGCGGTTCGCGCAGCAATTATGTCCCAGAACCGTTTGGCGATGAAACTGCAAAGCGGGGCTGGATATGGTTCGGCAACTTTAGTCCAAAACACACCGTCCTGACGCTTGCCGACCAACTGCTGGTGCGGCTCGCCAGTGCGGGCACACATTCTGCGGCTACCGAGGCACCTGCGAGTGGCGAGCCCAGAGAGATCGACGAGGTACGATACAAACGTGGTGGACTTCTTAAAAGGTCCAGCCCACATGCAGAAATCAGTGTACACGCTGCTGACATTCTTCCGTTTCGTAAGGGCAACGATTGAGTTACGCAGCCACAGGCGCGAGGTTCGCGGATTCTCCAAAGACCAGGGGATCCGTCGAAGGATGGCCTCACGACACAGGCGGCATGCGAAGCGAGTGAGATTATTGGCAAGCGTCACTTTGTGCTGCAAGGCGGCTGAGAGGTTCGGAAGCCCCCACGGCCACGCGTCACTCCTCAGCGGCGGCGGCCCACCACCACGATCGCGGATGCGGGAGTAGGTCTGGCACGGCAGCGCGACGTGAAACCCGATGATGAGGCCTCCAGCGAGCCAGCCTAACAGCAGGTTCTGATTCTTGCGAAGCGTCAGGTCATAGGCGTCACCGAACGAGATGTCCCACCAGAGCACCTGCAGCCCTTCATGCGCAGCAGCACGCCCCAGCCTGCCTGAGCCGGAGAAGATCTCCACGAACACGGGGACCCTCAGGGGCTCGCGCAAGGCTGGCGTCGCCCGGCCGCAACGTCGGCGAGCAAGTCGGCGCAGCGCAGCGCGTGGGCACGGAGCGGGGCGGTCAGGCGCTCGAGCACCTCGCCGAGCCTCGCCCCCTTCTCGTAGCGGCGAAGGCTGCTGTGGGCGCGCCAGCGGCCGCGATGGCGGATCTGATCCAGCGCCCTCGCGCCGGTCGCCGCGTCGTGGCTGGCGCCGCCGTGGCGCAGCTGGTAGCGGCAGACCACGCCCACGCGCCGAAGCCCCAGCGCCTGCACCGCCCTGTCGAACGCCTGCCCCGCCTGGGTGGTGCTGATCGCGAAGAGGGGCGGGGCCGCAGCAGCCCCCGCAGGCCGCTTCAGTACCGCCTGGCGCCACTGCGGCCCGAAGCGCGCCTCCAGCATGGCGCCGAGCGCTGGGCCGAGAGACGCCTGCCGGTCCAGGTCCAGGAGCTGCGCCTGGTCGAACTCCTGGGTCTTTGAGGCCACCCCGTGCTCGCGGGCGTGCAGCGTCAGCGACCAGCTGCCGCCGGCCCGCGAGCCCGCCACCGGCGGCGCGAGGTCCCGCGCGCGGAGGGTGAACGGCTCGTTCGGGCGGTAGTACATCTCGAACGTCAGCCAGGTCACGAGCCCCTCCTCCCACAGGCCGTGCGCCCACATCCACATCACGATCATGCGCATCACCTCGTACGGCACCCCGAGCCTGGAGCCTGCAGGCGCCAGCCGCTGCCAGCCCTTGAGCGCGCGGCGGCCCCGCGCCATCCGCGCGCCGCCCGCCTTGCTCAGCGCCGACTGGTGGAACAGCACCGCGGCGAGCATCCGCTGCCCCAAGCTCACGTGCGCGCCGTCGAGGTACATCTCGTCCAAGTACTGCGAGAGGGTCTGGTCGGCGTCCAGCTCGCCCTCGGGCATCAGGCGGCCCTGGCGATTCAGCCAGCGCTTGAACGAGGCAAAGTCGTCTTGGCACAGCCGCAACGTAGCGGGGCGAACCGAGTGAGTCTGGCAGACGGTCAGCCCCTCGGCCGCGGTCGCGGCCGCCCGCCGCCTCGCCGCCTCCTTCACGCGGGCCTGCCCGGCGTGCCGCGCAGCTGCTCGCGCCGGCGCCCGCGGCGCCCGACGGGGCACAGCCGCCGGCGCGCTGCTGGGAGCGGCCCGCGAAGGAAACGCCGCCGATGAAGATGGGGTCGAAGCGGCTGGCGTCCGCGTCTGGCTGCTCCTCCCCGAGGGCCGCGAAGCCGACCCAGTCGGCGGGGAGCCGGTCGACGGCAACGCTCGCAGCAGCATCGCCTCCTGCCGCGGGGCGAGGCCGCTGGGCAGGCGCGGGCTGCCCAGCCGAGCGAAGCCACTCCAGCTCGCGAGGCTTCGAGAGAGACAGCGGCTGCGGCACTGACGGTACTGCAAGCCCTCTCGAGGGCCCGTCAGCCACGCTCCACTCTGAGGGGAGCCACCGGCAGTGCAACACGCGCCCAGTGGCCAGACAAAGAGCAGCAACGGACTGGGTGACCTTCAGCATCGCCCTCGAATCAGACCGCCCCTTCGAGACAGCGCAGGCAGCGACGAGGGCGTCCCCCAGGGCCGCGATCCGCCGCCCGAAGTTCTGAACATTCCTCAGGGCGTGTCGGAGCGCATATAGGATAGCCCGGCCCTCGAGGATAGGCATCGGCCCCTCAACGTTCCACTTGTGCCCCCCCACGATCTTCAAGTCACGTCTTAAGAGCTTCAGGGGTACCTCACGAAACACGGTGCTACGAGAATCGCCGAGCCCTGATCCCAGGACGGCGGCGGCACTGCCAGCAGGCGGCGGCCCCCCGTCAACATCCCAGAGACCTCCGGACCCGTTGTCGTGCACTCCAGACAGCCGCTGCACCTCGGGGTCGTCGGACACGGCGGCAGCGGCGGCAGCCTGAAGTCGCGGAGGAAGACGCGCACCCCGAGAGAAACGCCACCACTCGCAATGTCTCCCAAGCCCCCGGGCCTCCTCAACAGAGATCGGCGACGAGCAGACCCCCAAACCAGTCGGGGAAGCGTCGACGGCGCACAGCGACGGCCCCCGCGAGGCCTTCAGGTTGCGCCACAGCAGCGGCGCGATCCCCTCCCAGATCGTGAGCTCGTTGATGACACTGGGCCACAGCGGGGCCTCCTCGGAGTAGAAGCGGCGGATGAACGCGAACAGCGCGTCGAAGACCGAGAGGCTTTCCCGTCGGACCAGGCTGATAAACCCCATGTGCCCCACAAGCCTCTCGAGGATCTTCCCAGAGATGCGGCCACGACGAAGCACGGCACGGACACACAAGCGGGCCCTCCAGACACGGGCCCGGGTAGGCCTCAGGACAGCGGCACGACAACTGATATCCCATCCCAAGACGGTGCGGTCCCGAGCGAGATCCTCTCCGGGCGAGTCGACATCGGCGGTCACGACCAACCCCGCCTCCCTGAAACCCTCCACGACGGCGGACGCGAGGCGATGCACCTTGGAGGCGACAGTCGAAATAGCCACGAAGTTGTCGACATACTCGAGATGGCAGGCCCCCGTAAGAGAGGGGATGGCCCGACGATCCTGTAACCTCTCCTCGGGTTGTCCTCCACACCGCTCGACCAATCTCTCATGCACACGTTGACACCACAACAGTGCCCAAGTCCACCCCATGGGGCACACGCGAAGGCTTGGGTATACCCACGCCCCGTCGCGCACTGGCATCCCGTCGATCTCAGTCAAGCCGATATCCCGAGCACGGACGCGCCTAAGGGTGAACAGATCCCGCAACTCGACAGGCAGCTGCAAATGGTAAAAAGCATTGGACAGGTCAGCTTCCGAAATATAAAGCGTCTCGTCTTCACCGACTTCGAGGTTCCCAAGGGTCTCACCAGTACAAAGGGTCACATTATCAGGCTCACGAAACCAAACGTTGCTGTGACGACAATCGCAAACGAGTCTCAATCGCTGATCCTTTTTCGGAACACAGAAGAACTCCACGGACTCTCTGCCGCGGTCGCAGGCAAAATCTAGCAGGCCGCTGTGATGAAGCCGCGAAACAAAATCGCTCCACACACGCGGTTGGCGAAGAGCTGGGTCGGAATAGGGCGCCCTCACGCCGCGCATCTTCCTCCTCTCCAGCGCCGGCCCCGCAGGTAGCACACTATCGCGGACGAACTCCGCGACGCGCCTGCGCCCGCCTGCGCCCCGCAAGTCCGCGAGCGGAACCGCATGGCTCCCCGCGGACGGCAGCGAGAGCAGATCGGGATTGTAGTTCCCCAGCTTCACGTCCTCGTCGGAGCCGTAGAAGCCATGCGCTCGAAGCCTCCGCAGAGCTTCCGAGGTGTCGACGCCTGCCGGTGGAGCCCCCAGCGCTCCAACTGAGTCGCGCACGTGCTCCATGATCCGCTGCTGCATCAGCGACAGAGGGCCACCGCTGAGTTGACCCTGTGCGCCCGGCACAACGTCAGGAGAGTGATGCAGTGAATTAAGGGCGACCACCGCCCTCCGAACGTCGAGATCGCGGGCGTGACGCTGCTGAACCCGCTGGCGGCATCCTCGCGACAAAAATCCACCACGGTCAGCACATACAGATGAGACTGGCGGTACTGGCAGAGGAAGAGGATTGCGAGCAACCAGACGTGCGGGCTCATCACGACCAAGAAGAGACGTTCGAATTGACCATGCGAAGGCGCCCCCCGGTCGCCTGGCGACCGGGGGCCACAAAGGGGGCGCTCCATGCCCCCTCAACCTTGTCCGTCCTTCTTGCCCTTCTGGAGAGCCTCCTTCTCTTCACGAGCCTTGCGGAGGTTCTTTGCCAGGGCAGCTTCACGCTCTACTTCCTTGCGTACAAACTCCAACAAGTCAGGGCGCACCATCAAGCTGGAAGAAATCCGAGTCGAACCAGCGAAGTGCGTCTGCTCCTCGATCGACAGCTTCCCGCTCTGATTGGCCCCTTCACGCTCCCTCACTTCTCCAGGCACGAATACTCGATCGTCTGCATGCGACAGAGGATGGCCTCGCAAGCCTGTAAGTTCGTGCCGTCGCACTGGTCAGAGAGCGACAAAGGGCGGATGTACTGCGTGCCCTGGAAGTGCTCCTGCACGCACCACTGGGTCGGCTTGAGCTTCGCCACCGCCCGCAAGCGATCGTGATGCCCGTCGATGCCCATCCCCTCATTGTTGATGAACTTGATGCACCAGAACGTCGTCCGCGGGCCTGTCACCCGCCAATCGCGCCCGAAGTCCACCTCACGAACGCGCACAGCCATGACCGCCCACGTCACCTCGCGGCGGGCGCCCGTACGCATCACGGGCACCACGCGAGCGTCTGCTGCCACCGCGCGCCCCATGAAGTCCTCCAACTCGGCCGCCGGCACCTCCTCAACGAACAGGGCACTCCCGTCGGCGAGGATGTGGAGGTCGCGCCCGCGCACCGCAGCTGCCGTCGCCACGTGCCCTGGCACGTCGTCACCGTACCGCACGTCCCCGAGAGACTGAGCCGCCCGCTCAGGCTCCGCCGGCTGCTCGCAAGCAGCGCAGGCAGGCCAAGAGCGCGGCGCCTCCGCACGCCCCTCAGGAGCGGCGCGCGGCGCCTCGACCGCCACCGCGGGGCAGACCAGCGTGGGGCACGCTGGGCAGCTGACTGCGGCTGGCGGAGGGCACGTGAAAGAAGGACGGGCAGGACAGGTCAAGGAGCAGCTCGGGCACTCCGGCGCAGCAGGGCAGCGGTGGAGGTACGCGATGGTCGCGGCGACCGCCCCTCCCAGTACCAGCGGCAACATCCACGCCCCGCGCGGACCGCTCCCTCCGTTACGCCTTGAGCCCACACGGTTAAGGCGGCCCGACCCACTCATGCTCCGCAAAACGCGTTAGTATAACTGCAATCACCGTCGACATCGTCATCATCATCGTCATCATCGTCACCATCGTCATCACCATCACAATCAACATCAGCATCGGCATCATCATCATGAGTATGATCATGATTATCATCAGTATCATCATCAGCATCATCGTCATCATCATGTCGTGGAACGGGCATTGAATGCTATGTTTGCTGCGTCCTAGGCCCCCTCCTCCTCCTCCGCATCCTCCTCGTCCTCCTTGTTTACCTCCTCTTCCTCATCATCATTATCATCATCACCACCACCACCATCATCATCAGCATCAGCATCATCATCATCATCATCATCATCATCATCATCATCATCATCATCATCGTCATCGTCATCGCCATCATCATCATCATCATCATCATCATCATCATCATCATCCTCATTCTCCTGGTCATCACCAAGCATCATCATCACCACCAGCATCGTCATCATCATCATCATCACCATCATCATCAGCATCAGCATCAGCATCAGCATCAGCATCAGCATCATCATCATCATCATCATCATCATCATCATCATCATCATCATCATCACCATAATCATCATCATTATCATCGTCATCATCATCGTCATCAGCATCATCATCCTCCCGGGTGCTCCCTAAGGGTTCTGGAAACTCATGAGTTTCTGGAAACATCCCCCCGAATTCCTACAAACTCAGGTCCTCATGTTGCCGCCCTCTTCCCCGTCCAACCCGTGAGTTATCAAAACTCAACAATTTCCAAAAAGAACAAACCCACACCCCCGAGTTCCCGGAAACTCGAGCGCCTGAGCTTCTCACCCCGAACCCCGTCTCACCCAGGAGTTTCTAGAGAATTTCTAGAAACTCACGGTCATGAGTTTCTGGAGACCCATGAGTTTCTAAAAGCTCGTTCCCCCCTTCGAAATCCCTGGCAGTCGAGTCGCCCAAATCATACCTGGTCCTCATCCTTATCCTCCCCTTTTCCTCTTTCCCCTTCTCCGACGGCAACGGCGACAGCGACTGACGACGACGGCGACGGCAGCGCGAATGGCGAGGCAGCGCCGCCAGCAGGGCCCAGACGAACGAGCCGCCGGGCAGAGGCCCCGCCAGGCCCCGGTGCCTGCGGCTGGCGCAGCGGAGTATGAGGGGGGGGGGGGAATGAAGGAGGGAGGGGAGGGGGCGGGGAAGGGAGGGACAGGGAGGGAGGAGGAGGAGGAGGAGGAGGAGGAGCAGCAGGAGGAGGAGGAGGCGGGGGAAGAGATGGAGGAGGAAAAGGAAACAGGAAAGGGAAGAAGGAGGAAAGAGGGAAAGGAAGAAGGAGGAGGAAAAGGGGGATGAGGGAGAGGGGGGGGGCAGGAGGAGGAGGAGGAGGAGGAGGACTCTGAGACTCTACGCTCCAATGAGGGGAGAAAGGTCCCCAGGTGGTTGGGCATTACACGAACAGCCACCTATGTGGGCCTGACGGCCCACGGCGAGCCTCGGATCGTTCCTCCTTAAAAGGGTGTGGTAGCCATCGTGGCCGCATTTTGGAGATCGCATGCGCTGCGTTGCTAAGGGGCGCGCGCCCCACGGACCCTTGGCCGTGCACTTTTGGCCAGGGACACAGAATGGGGAAACACCGGGGCAAGGATGGATGGATGCGGATACCAGGAGGGGCAGGGGAAAGAGGGGGGCAGGATGGGAACGAAACGACATGAGGGGGAAGGGGAGGTCAGACGGTGGCGAAGCGGGAAAGATATGGAGGGATGTGAATATAGGCGGGGAGACGGGGAAGAAGGGCTGGATTGGCGGACGGGATGCGCCAGACGAGTCCTGAGACAAGGCGAAGGGGGACCAGACAAAATGCACCAAAGGCTGGCAGGATGGGATCTGTACGGTGGCACTGGCACTATTTTTCTCTTGCTTCTGTGGCTCACAAAATTATAGTGCGCAACGCTGCCAGCCCGCCGGGCTGGTTCGCCTACGCCACGCCGACCGCCGAAGCGGCGTGAAGTGCCCCTGTGACGGCCACCCAGACCCTCCCCCTTTGCCCTGCCCCTCCCTATGCCTGGTGCACAGATACATGAAAGACTAGACAAGGACGACAGCACGGAACTACGAACGCAACAGGGTGGCAAGGGACATGTACTCCTCCATGCACCTCGCTGGACATTTCTTAAAATCAGGGTGCTGGCCCTTCGAGAACCTGTCCCAAGAGTATCGCGCCCCTCTTGGAGGCGAAACGGGGCTTGCACTCCTCGCCTAGTTCCCGAGTGCGCCCCGCAACTGCTGCATATGAAGACCACGCCAATGCAAAATTGGAGAGGTGGATGGTGTGCTTGCGCGGGTTGCAGGCAAGCTCAGTGAAAGCAGCGTTGTGGCCTGGGCTAGACGCGACAGCCGCTGCGGGTCTGGCTGGGCCCCTGGCAAAGGAGGAGGAGGAGAAGGAGAAGAAGGAGGAGGCGGCGGAGGAGGAGGAAGAGGAGGAGGAAGAGAAGGAAGAGGAGGAGGAAGAGGAGGAGGAGGAGGAGGAGGAGGAGGAGACGAGCGCAGGAGGGGAGGTCAGTTATCTATTCCAGGCACGACGGTCAGCAATCTCATCGCACACACGGAGGTGGCCAGCGAACGAGGAGGAGGAGGAGGAGGAGGATTTTTGATTGAGATCAACCGTGCCCAACAAACGACGGGCGTGCCGTCGCCACCTGCTATCTGGCCTGGATGAAGGCAGGCCAGCGAGCAGTAAGAAAAGGCAATTGGAGGGCGGGCGCGACAGCCACGGGGCGATATCCCGCCAAGGGGGGGGATCCCCTGTGGCTAACCGCCCGCCCCCCATAGGCCAAGACCTTATAAAAAGTGGGGTCGAGGCCGAGACGCTGCGCAAGCCGAGAGGCCTGAAGAGCATCTCCTAGTCTGAGTCGTCAGACCACGGCACAGATGGGGCGACGAGGGGAGCCTCATCCTCTTCGAGGGCGAGGGCGCCCCCGACGCGCGCCAACTCCGCAGCCGACGACAGGGGCTCGAGCAACGGCTGTGGTCTCCCAAGTCAAAAAGCCTCGGGGCCGCCAACCAAGAAACGAGCGGCTTCCTCTTCCGCCTCGAGCGGGTCGAAAGCCACAGGCTCAGGCACATAAGCAGGCATGGTGCTCGACGGCGACGGCCCGACGATTCGATCTCGCTGCACCTGTGGAGCCTGGCCCAGGGGAGGCTCGACCTCCAGTGGGCCTTCAACTGGCGGGCCTGGGGCCCCCCCAGCGGCCGCGACAAGTCTGCGCGCGAGCCTGGCAGTGCGTAGCTCCTTTTCGCAGTCAGTGAAGCGCCGCGGCAGCTCCTCTGAGTCCTGGTCACAATGCCAGGGACCGAACGACGGAGACGCCGGAACGCTCGGGGTGCTTACCAGTTCCCACTGAACTCGAAGCTGACTTCGCCCCCGCACTCCGGGGACAGCCGTCGCACTTCCTAAGTAAATTGCGAGGCAGCCCATGGGGGGAATAGGCATAGCACCGGATGCAAATGGTGAGCACAGCCCCGTCCGAGCAAGGCAAAGCAATACAATTGGGCTCCAGCTTGGAATCTCTGAGACACTTACCAGGGAGCGGCGGGTCCAGACCTCCGGCCTTGCCTTCGCCACTGGGACAAAAGCGCGGCGCTCCCGCGGCTACCTTGGGGCACTCAGAGCACTGCCAAAAACTGGAAACCCGAACCCGCTGATGGGGCAGCGGTTCCGCCTTGGGCTTCGGGGGCTTGGGTGCCAAAGGAGCGCCTTTGAGGTCGAGCCCGGGCGGCTCTGGCATAAGCTCAGCAGAGAGGCGCATAACGCATTTAGCAATGGGCAAGCACCGCTCTAAGCATTCTACATCACAAGGGTCGGGCTGTGGGTGCCTGACTCGTGAGTTTTTGGCAACGCTGTCAGCTAGGTCGTTACCCAGCTTCCAGAAACGTCCCAACTCGGTAAGATCGCTAGATTCTTCAACGTGGGCTGTCACCCCCAGAACTCCCCCGACCAACTTCTGATGGGTGGGGGGGGCAAAAAGCCAGAATGCACGCGCTTCTTGGGCAGGGCGCGCAGCAAAGGTTCGTTAGCCTGAACAACGACGTTTTTACAATCAGAGTTAATGGAGTTCCCGGGCAAGGCATGCATCGCAGCAGCCGCGTAGGCTCCAAACTCCCCACCCTGAGCGGTTTGGAGGTTAGGGGCCCACAAGTGACAACTGATACGGCAGACCTCGTCGCCGTCATCCCCTACGACCACGATGCCCCACCCAGCCCTGGAGAGTTCCTTGGCTGCGCGCATAACGCGCGACCCGTCGACGAACATGTGACCAGAGATGGCGGGGGACCTGCTGGCGCGGCCGTGGGCCCATATGACCTCCAGGCCAGTGCCCTCAACATCATCCCGGGCAGGAAAGGGGGGCGCATCGCCAGGATGCCGAAAAAGGCCTCTGGTGTACAGCAGGAAATCCTCCTAATCCTTCTGAGGGGGCAGGTCGGGCGGGGGCACCAGGGTAACCCCTCCATGGAACTGTCAGGCACTTCCTGTCTCTTGTCGTGACAAGCAGAGCAGAACCAGAGCCGATGAAGCACGGCATCGGGTGACCCACCACAAAGGCCACACAGCGCATCGACTTCATATCCTGTTTCGGCGGCTCTCGCCCTGGTCCAAGTGGCATTACAAGCGACTGGTTTGGCACGCCCGCGCTGCATATGGGGTGCCCTTCTTGGAGCGAAGGTAGCTGCCACAACATCGTGACACACTCGAGCTCCAGGCGAGTGAGGAAGCAGGGCATCACCACTAGTTCGCTCATGGGTCCTCTGCACCGCGGCCTTCAAAAGCTTCTTCAGAAGGGCGGGGGGGGGGGGGGGCGACGGTGTGCGAAACTTCAGTCCCGAAATCGTCCAGGAGGAAGCAGTCATTAGGCAGGCTCCAGGAAATCCGATCCAGGGCAAGCTTCATAGCCCCCAAGAGCCCTTTCACCCCCCGCCAAGTTCTGGGGCCCGAGGAGCCAAGAACGAAGGGCCAAGCCGCCCGCAATTCAGCCCAAGGAGTGACAAACGGGAGAAGTCTAGTTTGGTTGGCCCATATTTTCTTCGCGTAGCGCACGATGGGCGCCACGGCAAGGTACCGGGTCGGGTCCTGGGAGGGAATGAGCAGCGAGGTCCGTGACCTCATCTTTGCAGGAGGCTGCGTGGTGCTGGCGGCTGCTACCTGCAGCCGTTCCCATTCAAAGCTAGCAAGGCCGCGGACTTCGGCCCCAAAGGTTATGCTGGGCACGGGGCCAGCAGTAAAAAAATGGCAGCATGCTCACCAAGAGGTCGCTTGGCCCTCCTGAGCCTTCTGAGCTTCTTGTTAAAAAAACTCGCTTTCGGTCGGTAGCCTTCTTACCTCTCCCAGGGGCGCGTCGGGGGCAACCAGGGGCAACATCAATGCCCAAGTTAACGGCCGATTGCACAACGGGTCCAGCGAGCCCTCCAAAGACAGTCTCTGACCTGAGCTGCGAGCGCATCCGACGAGGCAACGAGAGAGGCTTTATCAACCGAAATGACCGCACCCTTGCCATTTTCGATGGCCTCCCTGAGGTTCGCTACGGCCTCTGGGAAGCGTTCAACAATGAGGGCGCTCGTGCCAATGCAGCTGAGGCCGTAGTCGTCTATGCAGACGTCAAGGGTGATACCTGGGGGCAACTTCAGCGAGTCGAGCGCTGGGATTGCACTGATGCGCACCATGGTGGTTGCGAAACCACAGCCAGCTACGACGCCTCGGTCGACATAGAAAGGTCCGACCACCAGGCCTGACAAAGAGACGTACCTGCCGTGCCGATATCCACGCACAGCAAGCCTCGCAAGCTGCAAGGGAAACTTGTGCTGGTGGCAACGCTGGAGGAGCGTGGTCACTTGAACAAGCTCGAAGCATGTGTAGAGATCCCACAGCAGGGTGCAGCAATCTTGTTTCTTGGACACCGCTTCTTCAGCCCGCAACGTTTGCCTCCAGACGACATCGACAGCAGAGGAAAACTGAGAACCAACGAGGTGGCATCTCTGGAAGCTACACTCCCATCGGGTCGCGCATTTCCGGCGGCACCGCCCCCAGAGGCGGTTGGCGCTACAAAAACAAGCCAATGGGCCGAAAGCACCCCGAGGGCTTCT